GTATTAAACTTCAAGAGATTCTGTAGCTTTTCCCTATTCCTACCTCTTTTCCCTTGCTCTTGTCCTTGGCCTAGTGGATGCAGTTATGATAATTTAGCGAGATTTTCTGTTGTGCTTGATCTAACCATGTGGTTGCAAGGTATGAGTAAAACATGGTTCTGTCAAGCACCATGGAACGTCACGCAGCTTTCTACAGCATGGCAAGCTGCTGAGGCTTAAGTCAGGATTACACATTTTTTTAAAATTGAAGGAGAAAATAGGGTTTGAATCTGATGTATATGAGATTATGTGGAGGATTGGGGACTCTTAAAGAAATGAACATAGAAGGCTAATGAAGTCCAGTCAACAACAAAAAGAATAACTCGCGAAAAAAGAAATGGCATACAAGAGTCTATTAAGTCTTGACACACAGAGAGATAAATAAATTCTGTAATAATTAGTGGCATTTGTGTAATTCGACGTAAACCAGGCAAGATTGGCTGACAGCACAATCAGCAGAAAGTACAGCTGTGAAAAGCTTGAGTTTTCAGTGTTCTCCCATCACATGAACTTGGTCACAAATTTTCCAATATATCTCAAGCCCTTGTATTTGACCCTCTCTTGAAGCCTTAATGTCTGTTCAGTAGCACAAAGTTTACCAAACATTTCTCAATTTATCTGCATATAGTCTGCATTGCACATCTGTCATTTTAATTTTCTCATTAGAAATGTATCTTATACTCTATGGACTCAGTGTCTATATTTTGGCTTGACTCTTCCACAGGCACAGAAGATTACAGATCAAAACTAAGTGGAGACTGCTTTGCAGATCTGGCTTGCCCTGAAAAATGCCGCTGTGAAGGAACCACAGTGGACTGCTCCAATCAGAAACTCAGCAAAATTCCTGACCACGTTCCCCAATACACAGCAGAGTTGTAAGTTCTACCTTCAGTAATGTGCTGCTTACAAGTCAGAGTAAAGCTAAAATTTTGGTATGAAGAGTCAACGCACCTTAAAATTAAGAGGAGGAAACAGAAGTTCAAGCTACTCCCCCCTCCTTCCCTTCCTCCATTGTTTTGAACACTGAATAATGTCATCTCTAAATATAAAGCATTTTTAACACTCAACCCATACAAGTGTTTTAATTCATCAAACGCGAAAGAGAATATCTAAACTAACAAAAAATAACTGCTGTATTATGCCATATTTCTGCTCCAGGATTATCTACTGTTTTTATTCTGTATGTTTATTTTATAATTATATTAAAGTAGCAACTAGGAGACCCAATCCAGAATCAGGACCACATTAGGCTTGGTGATGTACAGGCATGTAACAAAGAAAAAAATGACTGCTCCATGTTATTCACAATGTACACATCAAACAGTAAACAAGTGGTGGATGAAACAACAGGAAAGGGTTGGGATGTAACAAGGAGAGAACAATAAAAGAATTTAGCAGAAAAAGAGAACTCACAGCTTTGTGCTTGCCTAACCAGTTCCAAATGGAAGTGATTTGTAGGCATTACAACAGAGGTAAGTTTCGAAGAGGAATTTAAAGAGAGTATAAATTCAGACAGTTTCATGAGTTTGTCCCATGAAGAGGGGGCAGTATGCACAGAAGCGCTGAAAAGCTTCAAAATTAAACTGACAGGTGAATGACTGTTATTGACAGAGTGAGGCAAGAAAAATAAATTCGAACAAGTCAAAACTATTTTGGGCTGGCCAAAAAAAAAAAAAAGGAACTAGCAAATGTCACAGAACCTAACACCAAAATAATGACATCAGAAGCAGAAAGCCTATCAAATGATCAGTGGGGTCAATGGACAATCAACATGCCAAAGGAGCACTAAAGACTGTTGCAAGGACGCTAAATGAATTCTTAGCATCAGTTCTTTACTGCTGAGGATAAGAGACTCTCACCCCAGAGCATTATTTTTAGATGCCAGACTGAGGAACTGTCCCAGAATGAGATATCAGTGGGGAAAATTTTAGAACAAATCGATAAACAGTAATCATATACCAGAACCAGATGGTATTCACCAAGAGTTCTGCAGGAATTCAGATATCAAATTGTAGAACTACTCACTGTACTATGTAACTTATTACTTAAATCAGTCTCTATACCAGATGACTAAAGGATAAATAATGTAACATCAATTTTTTTAAGTAAGGCTCCAAAGGCAATCCTGACAATAAAAGACCAGTAAACCTAACTTCGTGATCAGACAAGTTTGTTTAAACTCTACTAAAGAAGAGAATTATCAGATGCATAGATAATTCAGCACTGCCTTTTGTAAAGGAAAGTCATAACTCACTAATTTATGAGAATACTTTAGGTTGCAAACAAGCATGTGTAAAAGTGTGATCCATGGATAGTGTACTTGGTCTTTAAGAAAGCTATTGGCAAGGTTGCACATAAAAGGCTCTTAAGCAAAGAAAGTGGTTCTGGGATGAGAGGGAAGATCCTTTCATGGATCAGTAACTGGCTATAAAATAGGAAATAAAGTGTGGGTAATAAATTGTCAGTTTTCACAGTAGAAAGTGGAAACAGGCTCGCTCTAGGATCTTTACCAGGACCAGTGCTGTTCAACATGTTCATAAATGATCTGGAAAATGGGGTAAACTGTGCAATGGAAAAGTGGACAGGACATTCAAGGTAATGCAAAATAGTTAAATCCAAAATTGACTGCAGAGAGTTACAAAAAGACCTCACTAAGCTGGGTGACTGTCCAACAAAATGGCAAATGAAGTTCAGTGTTGATAAGTTCAAAGTAATGCACTTATCAAATATAATTCCAGCTATACATACAAAATAATGGTTTGTAAGACAGGATATTAGGCAGTTCTTATGTGCTAATGCTTTGATGTTTTAGTAGATCTGATAAGTAGAGTGGACTAAATGGTGAAGGGCCTAAAGGAAAAGAAGAGGAGTTTGTAGTGGAAAAGAGAGAGCTAGTGT